TCCCAAATCCATTTAGAAAACTCACTCAATTAATTTGGGCTTTTGCAATGAATCAATGAAATAAAATTTCATCAGCTCCAGAACAAATACAGTCACATTTTCTATGGATTTGGATTGGACACTTGTGCTTCCATTAAGTCTTTACCATTGGAGCATTCGTAATGTGTCTCTTCTATATATTGCCTATTTTCAGATAATGAGCAACTTCATATGCAACCTTTGCATCTCAGTTCTCCAGCTATCTATATCATGAAGTATAATGAATACTCAGCTTTACTGAGTCCTCTTCCCTCTCTAGATCTGGGCTGAAATTGGCCAGTGAGATCAGAAATCATGACAGGAGGAGGAGAAGAATCCACTTAATGCCTGCTTTCATAGCAAATAAGATTACCATACAAATGCAGAAGGCTGGCACAAAGGCTGGCCATAAGCAAGCCCAGAGGACATGTCCCTTGAATTGTTCTTGAATGTGCACATCTCAGGGTGCGTGACTAGTTACTTTTAGAAATGTGCTGTCCCATATTTACCCAATGTGCTAATTCATTTCTGGGCTTGACTCAGCTCTAAAATGAATGCTTTCCCTTTCCCTGGGCAGTACAAGGAGTTCCAGAGTGATAATAATATTGACTTTAAGGCGTTGACCAAGTTATCCTATAGCTGTGACAAGTGGTAGAACAAAAAGCATCAGGAGAAAAGTCTAAACAGAAAGCAGTAAGAGTTCCCAAGCAAAACCACAGCTAAGGTGGGCTAGACAGTCTTGAGAAATTCACATTATTTGCTATAAATCTCATTCACTCAGTGCTGAGACATCAGTTCAAACCATTGAGCTCAGAAGGGCATTGGTATCCTTTTGATCCATGGCAACAGTAGCGTGGGAAGGACGGAGGGAGGGGATCCAGGTGTTACAGCTCTTTTGAGATAACCTTTGGCCAACAGTAGTATGTCAATTAAAAACTATTGTAGAAGGCAACAGAAGAAATTTTTTCTGCATTTAAAAGGCCAGTTTATCATCCCAATAAAATGAAGCTGGTATTAAAGGAAGTGGTTTTCTTTTGCACTATGCATTTGCCATAGTCTAGTTGAGATATTAGGGCATGGGTTGGACTCGATGATCTTGAAGGTCTCTTCCAGCCTAGTGACTCTGTAATTCTGTGTGAGTAACATAATTACTCTGAATTTGGGGATAGTCAGAAAATTGTGTAAAGGCCAGATTTCCTGTGTGAAGCTGCCTAAAGACAAACAAGTACATTTGACTTCAAACCAATTGATAAATTCTAAATAAAGATTTATTTACACAATTCAATAATTCCTTGATGAGACACTATGTTATTTCTGCTCTTTTCCATAGACATTTAACGGTCAGATGGTATCATGCTAAAGAGGATTTTCCAGTCTAACAACTCTATTTCACTGTATATATTTTTAAATGTTTTTAAATGGATAGTCCAGTGTTTGAAGTACAGGATATTTCTTTAGCTGACTGGTCAGAAGCTGGTCTGATCCAGTAAAAGCCAACAGCCATTCCTGGCCTGCAGTTCTTTGGTGACTTACATGAATTCATTTGATGTGCTCAACAGAAGTAGCTGCCACTGGGCAGGAGGCCAAGTAGCAAAAGCGTCACATTTTGCACTAATCAGGTTCCTCATTGCTGTCTGCAGTTATGGCTGGCCAACACTTTGTGCACACAAGTCCCATTAACTTTAAACTTAGCTCCTTAAAGGGCATAGATTAATTCAAACTCACATAGTTCCAATTCCTGAATTGTGCCATCAATTGTCCATATCCATTTGATAGATTAAAATATTAACTGGAATTCCAAGTGCAGTGTCCAAAAATATAATTTCATCTCCTATAAAATTAGCTGTCAGCCAGAGGAAAACTTTCCTTTCTTGCTGTGCACTAGGAAGAGAAAATGACTGCAGGTTCCCCAGGAAGCTGGTTAAACCCACAGAGCTCTTGCTGCAGTTTCCCACTTCCCTGCAGTCAGGCAGCACTCCCAAACTTTGGTACCTGTGCATCTCTCCAAGTACACAGTCATTTACTATGGGAATGGTTCAATTATCACAGGTAGAAAATTCAGGCTGATAAATATGGAAGGGTGAGAAAACAATCTGTCCTGCTAAAGATGAGGACTCTACCTTATGTGTAAATAAGTTAGGAGTTAGTTTGAATAGGAGAGATGCTACAGAACACACTAGCTAAAGGAAAAGAGGACAAGATACTTCTCCCAAGGCTCCATCTGTGCAGCTGTAGCAGGACACACTGGACTGTGGTGGTGTGTTTGGTGTACATCCCTCTTTTCCACAAACTTCTAATCTCAATATGGGAAGGAATGGATCCATGCATCTTGAATTGGAGCTTTCTGATAGGAACAAGAATTTGGTTTTAAAACACTCTCCATGTATCAGTTAGGCTTCACTAGCACTAGCATGAAAACATGAATTACACTGAAAAATTCATTATTAATGTTGAAGATTATTTTGACCCCTCCACGAATGGAGGCAGCTGTTTTGTACTTCAGGACATGCCATTTGTGATCCTCCCTTCCTCTGCCCCATACTCTGTAGAGATGAGAGGTGTTGTACATGAATGTCTAACATGTATTAGTGTCACTGCTGTCATGCTGATGCCTATCAGTCCTGTGCTGCCACATGCAGACCTTTTGAGAGTTTTGACTCATGCAAAGCCGGAAGAGGGCTGTGTATCTTCCTGTCTTCCCACAGAAAATGTGCTCTGCACTCCTCAAAACACCCTGGGACACAGCAAAGTGCCCTGTGTGCAGCAAATGTGTGTCTGGGTGTGCCCTGAAGGGAGCACAGGACACTACAGGAGGGTTTTCCTCCCACAGGTGGGAGGTGCTGACTCGGAAGCCTGCCATGGCACTCAGCAGCTTCAAGGAAAGGCTGAAGTTTTCAAGGGATAGGAACTGCTCCCAAAGTGGTCAGATGAAGGTAAGAAAGGCTGATGTGGATGAGAGAGAATCCCTTCCTCTACCTTCCATCCTCTGAAGGAAGTTCCCCAACACCATCCAGGTGGTTTGGCGATGCCGTGGTGCTAAGTGACATTGCGATAACGTTTTCTTTGAGGTAACAGTTTTTTGAGAAATATTTGAATGGCATCACCAAAATATGCCTAAAGTGATCAAAGGTGCAGAAAAATGCCAGAGTGGCCTGACATTTGAAGCCATATCAGCACCCTTATTGGAAATAATATGCAAAGATCTGGACACTTTCCCCTTGGTTGTTAGAATAAGCATGTTAGCAGTGCACTGCCACAGCTGAACCCACGTGTTAAAGCTGAGATCTCCAAAACTATATCTTGGGATCTCATGGATACAGAATTTCACAAAGTGGATTTGACCAGAGTGGCAAGGCTTACTATGTAGGAAAACTCATCATTTTAATCATCATTACTGAATATATTGAAGTCTACACTTTACACAAAACAATGGCATCTCTAATGATAATGCTCCAGCAGCTCAGTTTCACTGCTAGCTTTATCATCCATTCCTTCTCACGCATTTTTTCTTAGTGACTGTGTGCCCTTGTGCACACAGGAGAAGATCAAAGATCACAGATCACATTCACACAGAAAGACTTATCTGTGAAATGCTGAGGTCATTAATCACATGAAACCAGCAGAGCACCACAGGAAACATGTCTCTTTGCTGTAAGATGGTCCTGCTTTTGTGCAGACAGAAAAAAAAAAAAAAAGACTGTCCCACATTTTCTGATATGTACTTCTTTGTTTTAAAGATTACATGAGAAGGAATAAGTATTCTGGCACTGGTAAGCACGCCATAGGCTAGGAGCTTTTTATTTGCTAGTTATTGTTTGTTTTATAAATGCTAAAGTGAAATGACGCAAGTGCCCTTTTTGTTGTCATATTGTTTGTTTTAGCTTTCATTGGAAGCAATCCAATGGTACCTTTACGTAGGCTCCTGTATAATTAAGATAGTGTGCACATTCTCTGAAAGGAAATCATTAAGAGCCTCTCAGGGAGAATGCACTGATTTCCCTGTCTGTGCCTTTTAAGTGGGTATAGCTCACACTCCATCAATTAACTTCTTGATAGTCCATGCATACTTCAAAAATTAATCCCATGTTAAGCTTCCAAAGCAGCTTTCAGCTGAAAACGTTCAAGCTACTTTGCAGGCTATAATTCACTTGCTACAAACATTAATTTCTTGTTTTTCCTAGTTATAAGATGTTCCCTTCTCAGGAAAAAAAAACCCAACTTTTTTTTTTTTTTCTTCAGAAACACTTTAAAATCTGGGGGGGGGTTTCAGGTTTTTGGAGTAATTTCTTTGTTTGTTTGTTTGTTTTTAAGTAAAACAAAACCAAAAAGCAGCTCTATAAATCCTTGGAGCAATTGATAGGTGCCTCGGTTCTAGATATTAAATCAAGAGAAAAAGGTATGATTCTTGGGGAAGAAACCTGGGTGTTTAACAACTGAACCAAGAGGATAAAGTACAATTTCACTGTATATTTGCTCGACTGCAATTGCAAACACAAGGCATAAACTTTCCCACTGCCTGTCAATAACAACTTTCCATAGCTCCAAACTCTGCAGCCCGTGTGTGTAGGTGAGGCGTGCCCTGGTACCAGGCTGGCACTGCTGAGAGCCTGCCGGGCTGCCGTGAGCTCAGAACCTGCTCACCTGTGAACTCCCCTCCGGTGCTCCTGCCCTCTGACAGCCCTTTCCCTGGGGAAAAAGAATGGAAGATCCTCTGGATCTGGGAGGGAAGTCAAGGAAACCCTGTAAAACCAAACCATGCTTGTTGTACTGCAGAGGGAAAAGCTCTGCTGCTGCTGTGCTCGCCTGCCTTTACTGGGAGCTCAAGATGAGGATTGAATTTTCTCATCTTTAAAGCCTACTGAAAAATTTAGTAACTTCAGGGAGATTTGACATCTAAAACAGGTTTCCTAAGTTAAAATTAAAAACCACAACGTACAGTTACTACAGGCACGTTTGTAGATGGTCAGTGTGCAACGGTAAAAAGTGGTTATTGAAGAGGAATTCGATAAATTCTGAAACCTGCTACTAAATTTGAAACAGTATGTGCATTAAACCAGGAACTGCTTGACTGAACACGCTTCAGCTAAAATTGTATCAAAGTAGTTACAAAACCTGATTAAACAAGGCTTCATTCCCACATGCAGCTCCACCTTGCTGCCTTGGCAGAGTCCTAAACTGGTAACACCCTTTTGCTGGCTTTCACAAAGCTCGTTAGCAGTTAATAAAAGCAGAGCAAAGGAGCTCACGTTTGTTTCCATCACACTGATGGTGTTTAGGGAATCAATGGCTTCTGACAAAGGGTGATGGTTCAAAAAACACACTTTGCATCAGCTCCTCTTTTCTGTCTGACTCCAAAGGCAGCAGTCAGTCAGCAGTGCCAGCTGCAGTGACAGAATTCAAACCACCCTTCTCATCCACTTCTGCCAGGTGAAAACTGATTTGCTTCAAAAAAAGGTCCCAGGGCACTCAGCAGTAGGGATTGATAAAGCATTCCCACTCCAGAAATCTGTCAGAAGAGGAAATAAATTGCTCTAAATACAGATCTCTATTTTTTACAACATCCAAATTGCAGCCACTTACAAGTCTTTTGTGCATTAATGTGTATCCTAATATATCAGTTCTTGCAAAACAATGCTGTGACAGCACTTACACTGTGAATACATACATCAGCTGAGCTTACTGCTTGCTGGAAAATTAGATACTCAGCTTTCAACAGTGGGGCCTTCCAGCTGGGCTCCTCTTCACCTCTAAATAGAGTGTATAAGGTCTCCAAAACTGTGATTAAGACAATTGAAATAAAGTAGTGAAAAACTCCATCCAAACAAGCTTCATCTCTACATCAAGGACATGCAAAAAATGTAATTGCAATTGTATTTCAACCTCTCGCCCACTTTTGGAAAACAGAAAACATTTCTTCCACCCCCATTCTTAGCAAAATTTCCATGCTGCTTCTATTTAAATGAAGAAAGAAGAATGTGCAACATTTTTTCAGACCAGTCACAATATTCCAGCCTCAGGAATTTGTCTTCATATAAAGTCACCACAGTTGCAGTGCAGTACCAAAGTCTTTTTTACCCTTTGCTAACATAACATAGGAAATGGATTAAAGAAGGGAGGCGAAAGACAGCAATTCTCTCTCCTAAACATCACAAAAAATAAGAGACTGTCACATAATCCTTGCAAAAGTATATTAAACACTGCTAGATTCTTGACTCCTACTCTTCCTTGACTACACCAGTTTGCTGTATACATGGGATTTTAAATAATTTAGCCTTTCCGTAGTGTTCGCCCTGCAGAGAGCATTCTGTACTATTCTGAGCACTGCAGGGACTGTCCCCACCAGTTTCCAAGGGACATTATGCATGCTGACACTCCAGAAGGACTTTGGAAAGGAGTTCTTGTCCTTGGGCACAGCCAAACTTTACTCTTGGAAGGAGTGGGGACAAAAAGACACCTCAGAGCTCTGGGCACCCTCCTCACAGGAGGATAAGGCAGCTTCAGAGAAAAAAACACTAAACTTGTTCAGATTGGCCCCTTATCCAGAGCTTACAAAAACCACCATGGAGTTGTGGTATGTTTAACAAATTAATATATAGGTACTGTGTCCCAACAACCAATAGCAAAAAATTTATTGCAAGTCCAAGCATCTCAAAACCAATGATCTGCTATGGGAGAGGCAGTGCTGCTCCTGACTGGAAGTGGGAAGCTGTTCCCCCTGCTGGGGGTGGTTTTAGCAGATGTAAAATGTACCTGGTAGCTTGACTTCTGTTATTGTTTTCCTCTAAGAAATAAGAAAATTAGAGTAATTAAAAATCAAATGTAAGTCTCTTCTTCCAGATCTGCTAAATAAATAATGCAATAATAAATAAATAAATGGAATCAGCTAAATTCCTGCAGGTAGGTTTTCTCCCCAGAGAGAACTGTATGTGTGCTTGCTTTTTCTGAATTTTAAGCTATCTGATAAACATTGACAAATCTGTGAGTTAATATAGATTCACAATCTATTTTCCCATAAAGCATTAATCCAAAAGGAAGGAGGAAATAAAGCACCCTTTAAGACTGGTGGAGCATTCACCCCCTTATACACTGGATATGGACAGAAATCTGTCAAATCTCCCCAGGCTGGTCAGAAGACCAGGGCTGCTTCCAGTGCCCACACACCTGCCTGAGACTCTGTATGCAGATCTAGATGGGGACACTGGAGCAGCTCTGGTCCCAGGTGTCAGCAGATCTGGTCTTCTGACCACAAACACTCAAGGCTTTGAAAGGAGAAAGCAACTGGAAAATTGTGCCAGAAGTAAAAGAGGATGATGTTCAAAATTCAACAATTATTTCCTTTTATCACAAGCCGAAACATTGCCATAAACATGCATTATTTGAGAAAAAACATTAACTTTGTTTTGTCTGATTAGCTCTTTCCATTAATAAAAAATTTCATTGGTGAATCTTCAGTATTAATTGCTGAAATCTGAAGTCAGATGCACACTCAGCAAAGGTGTTTAACTCAGCTTAATATCTTGTGTTAATAAAAATACAGAAAAGAACCTCAATTCAAAAGTATTGCCCATGTAAGCAGTGGGCTAGCTCTAGTCATGCAGTTTACAATATTAAGTAGAAATTAACTGATTACCCTAGTAACTTTGGAGAATAAATTTACATAATCTACTGATGCAACCATTTTCTTCCCAGGTGGAAGATTCTTTGTGACTCATGGACTGGTAGCACAGCTGCTTTTTGTCTTGTTCTGTGACCTGCCTGGGTTATAAAGTAGTTGTTGGAGCAACAGACACAGCTGCACTACGTCTGAATGCTCCCACTGTGAACTCCAAAGCTGTCTGACAGCTATGCAGCAGGAAAAACAAAGAACATAAAAATCTTTGGCACAGGGAGAGTCCATCAGCCCACATGGCAGAGAGCAGGTTGGACACCACTCCTGACAGTGTGTGAAAGCATCTGCACACAGATGTTCCTCAATCTCCAACTTCTCCTGCAACAGCTCTTTGGAAATATTTTAAAGTCAACTCTTTTTAGTTTGGCATTTTTGGCCCAAGGCCGAAGCTGATATTGTGGGGGCTTTGTGAAGATTAGCTGGTGGTCACATCCAAGAGTCACTAAATCGCAGCTCTGCCGTGAGCAAACCTGAACAGCTCTGCCTACAGGAGGAAAAGCTGCCCTGCCAGGTGGGAATTGCACTTATTTTCCTTCACATTTTAGGTAATGCAGTCTAAACCTTTTATTTTTGGTTTGGTGCTAGGACACCAAAGACCTATCTCCATATATTGAAGAAGAACACTGGAATATTCTCCATTTTATGCATGGCCTTCTTTTCCTAGCAGAACTTTTTATGGGCAGGAAATCCCAACAAATAGGTCTGAATTAGCAGAACACTTGGTAGAAGTATATTTTTTTTTTTTATAAATCAGTATAATGTTCATCTGCAACAGTTAAAATTCCTGTTAAAAAAGTTGGGGTAGCTCCCTTTTATGGAATTTCACTTAAGTAATTTTGAAAGTTCATGTTTCTGAGTATTTATAGCTAGTTCCTGTGTTTGTACTGGTGATAGTTCCTTTATGGGCTCAATACAGGGAATGCAGCATCCAGAGTTCATGAGATACCAGCATCCTGCCAGGCAGGCAGACAAAACCCTCCTGTTTTATAACTGAGGAAGTGAAATGTCCCAAGAGCATGAAACCAGGTTTCTGAGCTTCATCTCGCTTTCATGGCTACTCTTACACCTTCAGCCTCTGAAAGTCCCTCCAACATGGACAAATCCAAAAATACTTCATGCTGAGCACAGCAGCTGCTGGGCACAAGGACATCATCTCTGTGGCTGCCCAAACCAAAATAAAAGCATCATCAAAATGTGCAGCTAGGAGAAAGGGAGCAGAGGACATTTTCCACAACTGTTCTGTAATGCTCCATCAATCACTGATATCACTGTGGGCTCATTTTATTAAAAGAAAATCTTAGAGAACAAATGAACCCTCCTTCTTTTAGCTAGTTTACCCAGATGAAATATTACACAATAAAATATTAGGTATGCTGTGGTGGTAAGGACAGGACCACATACTCAGGAAAAGATCAAGTGTTAAAAGGAAACCCCCCAACTCTTTCTTGCATCCTGAAGGAAAGAGTGATAGAAGTGGATTTTAATTATTAACTTGGATTAGCTATCACAATACCTGAGAAACTGCCATATGGAACATATTCCAGTATAGTTTATACTCTTAATGGCCTCAAGCCTTCCAAGAAACAAAATCTGTTACATAAACTGATATCAAAGTGGCCTTGCTTTTCCTTCCCCTAGAGCTACAAATACATCAGCTATGCAAGAGCCATTATTGTGCAGTTAATGTGTCCAGTAAAAAGTTTAGTGAAACATACTTTCAAACTTGCTTGAAATAAGTGTTTGGATGGAATAAGATTATTGTAGTGGAAGACTTGAAGAAGAAATTCCAGCTATGCTACCCTTTCACTTTTATTTGTTCTCAACAAAGTTCCTGCTGTGATTATAGCTGTGCTTTAGACCAGAGTGTGAAGGATGTGAGGCATAAAGGACTGTTCTATTCAGGCCTTTAATTATTCAACTCGCCCATCCCTAAAATATCAACTAGCCATGAAAAGCTGACATAGACGCCCCCTTTATATTTTGCACAGATAGAAGAAATAAGAATCAGAACTAATGAAAGTGACACGAACAAGAGTGGCACTACCTTACAGTCTCTATGAGGTAGTATCAAGTTTCCATCACTATTTTTCAGATTAATATTTTGTACTGGAGACACAATTTTTGGTGCTTGTAAACATATTTTTCCTTCCGCAGAGTTGTTAAAAATAATAGCACATATTTATATGAAAGCACCAAGATTAAAATAGCACAAGCTGATTTCCTGTTTCTCCAAAAAGCAGTTGTATGGGCAAACCAAGGCAGGGCTTCCAGAAGTGCTTGTGAAAGGTTAAAGGTCAGTGTCCTCTGATTTTGAGAGAGAGATGGGAGAGGAGAAGAAAGAGAGAATACAAGTGAAATTACTCTTCAGGTTGTGGCCTGGCTGCAGATATGCTTTTAAACTTTCTTCCATATTCCTCCAGTAAAACAGGCAAGGACCCAGCACAGGCACAGAGAGGACAGGTATACAGTCATACATGCAGTTTTGGTTAGAAGAAGTGGATGGAGGATGAAGTGGATCCAAACTCGAGCTGCTGAGCTCTGGGCTAGTGAATGTGCAGAGCCATAGGGCACAGCGTGGCTCTGTGCCTTTCAGCCAGTTGTAGCACTAACAAATGCACGAGCTCACTGTTCAACCTCTTTTTTCTTACTAAAGGACAACATCCCTCACTATTTTTCTCTTCAAAGCAAGTAAAGTCATTTCAGAAAAAAACAACTTAAATGGATGTTGCAGAATATGCAAATGTCACGATGAGACTGACTGTAAGAAAGGCACATTGTACCAAATTCATCCTGGGTGAGGCCAACCATAGCCTTTGAATGATGGCATACAGTGAATTCATTGACAGACTCAGCAGCCCACACTTCTTTGTGAATAATCACAATCTCAGAAAAAGATACAGCATAGCAGTAATCCTCAAAGGTTCACACACTTGCACATGAAGACACAATGGCAAACAAATCTCAAACCTGGCTTTTATTTTTTCAGAGACCTCTTACCTCTTCATAACCCAGACGCTTCTCAGGGCTCTCTACCCCCTCCTCCTAAGAAAGAATCTGAACCAGTCCTAGAGTGGAAGAACGGGGGAATAAGGGAAAAAAATCCCATGTAATTTTGGCATTTGAATAAATATGAACATAGTTTCTGCTGTTTCATTTCTATCAGATTTGGCTCCTCTGTTGGTTGAGTGGTTTTAACAGCTGTTTATTTGCACACAGTTGTGCAAGTTTTTTTACAGCTTGTTAAGTTAGACTTGAGACGACAGCATGTGGTTCCCTTCAGACATAACTAACTTAAAATAACAAAGCCCAAGAATTCCTTCTTAAGAAGCTCAAGACCATTTGTTTAAAGTTTGAAAAGAATTAGGATCCTGTAATTCCAGGCTTTGTTATGAAACGGGTGAAAAGTTTCCTTCATATTACCTGGCTGGATGCACTCTGCAGCTGTATCCCACTGCAGAACCACCAGAAAAGTCATCTTGCTCTGTGCATGCTGGTTGCAGAGAAAATTCTGGCTACAAACATATTACAGCTGCATGTAACACACCTTACAGGAAGGGTGACTGCATGAAAAGCAGTAACTGAAACATGATGGCTTTATGACAAAGGAACCAACAAACAAGTGAACAACAGGATATCTTTCATACTTTCATAACCCCTCACTCTCACAGTTTAAGGATGTGTCAAAACTGGCTGAAAATGCAATTTTACTTAAACACAGTAAAGAGAGAAATGCTGTGGAGATGAGAGCAATGAAAACAAACATTTTCTCCGAAGATGAAAATGCAGCCCCTGAAGGGCTTTGCTGTAGCTAAAGGCTGAGAACAACTTCATACACTGGGGTCAGCAATAAACTGTTATAGCCAAGTGCCAGCCAGAAAAGTAAAACAACTGAGACAATAGAGAGACATGCAGGAGTGATGAGAGCTTTTTGCTGTAACGAAGGGCAAATTCATATTTTGTAACTGATAGAACCATATTGGTCTTTCAGATGCTTTGATTTAGTAAACAGTTCTTTGCCAGGCAAAGATAGGTTTTTGGCTGCTCAAGTGTGGGCAGGCACTAAAAGAAGGACAGGGATGCATTAGAGTACTGCTCCCTTGCCTGGGAGAATAAGTCAGCTTGAAGACAGCAAGTGGCAGAGTAAGAAAAAGCACTTCTGAGAAGTCTGACAAGCAAAAGATCAAAAGGCTTCTGCTTCAACTTACTGCTGCCCTTTAATGGTTGTAGGCTGAATATATGATTCCCAATCAGTCTCTCATGCTATTTTTACCCCCATGTATGGGCATTACATCTCCTCTCTTCAATCCAGACCTTTGGAGTTTTTCCCAGCACTGTGAAGGAACAGAGTTTATTACACTTTTTGCATTTAGCTACTGTAGGTTCAAGTCAAATATGTCTAATTCTTAGTAATGGATGCCTTGAACCTGCAAGCAAGTGGCTGAAAAATCATTTTGGTTAAATAGAAAACCAGTAAATACTAATACTAATACAAAGGGCATATTTGTGTCCTCCATTGTTGGAGGAACACAAACTATGAGAATTTAATCCTGTAGCTTGCACAGAATATTACAAACATTTGCTTTTTGAAGAGTGAACTTGTGGTTTGATAATGCAAGGAAGGGAATTTCAGCTGAGTTGTCTGGTAGCTTCAAATTGAAAGAAAAGGTACAGCTTATAGGCAGCTCCAAAAACAAGGAAGTATTGATTAAAAGGAGCTGCAATATTATTTTCAGGCACAAATTCATGTCTCAAGAATGCCAAGTTGCAATGTTTATCTCTATAAAATGCCAAGAATGCTCTTCCATTTTATAGTAACTACATTATCTTGCAAATCACATCTCCTAGGGTCTATGGTGTTACAGCCTTAACCCATGGCTCAGTTTATTTGAACATTACAGTGACAGCCCTAGTGTATTGTGCTGAGGCTTGTGGGATGGCTGCTCCATTTGATGGTGCAGGAGGTGTTCAGCTGCAGGAATGGAATTTGCAAACCAGAGTCGAGTCCTTACATCCTCTGTGCAGGGAAAGGCTCCAATGCCTGCAGCTGCCATGGACAACATTCACATGGAAGAACAGCTGAGAAGCTTCTCCAGATGTTAGCACCATCCAAACGCCAAATTATAGACCAAATCTGCTTTGAAATTAAATGTCTGTGCCATTCTCCAGGGAAGCTTACCCCACAACAGCAACATAGGGCTGCAGACAGGGACTCTGAGTCTGCTCTTGTACAAATACCTTTGCTTTCCCAGCACCCACACAAAATACAGCAGCAGCTTCTGTCTGAGTAACCAGAAACAAAACTTTTACATGCCCTAAAGGGAAATCTCTCTTATGATGAGACCACAGTGCCAGGCCCTCCTGGCCCCATGCATAGCTTATTGGAACACCATGGCTTCATGGTTGTCACAGAGAAGGGTGAAGGGGTCCCTTTAGCAGGAGAGCTGCAGAGTTTAATGGTTTGCTGTCCGGAAAAAATGTGAACTGCAGCTCCTTTTGTGTGCAAATGGTGCTGAGCTCATTTCTCACAGCTCAGCGAGGGCCTCCAGGCTGTTCAATAACAATACTCTCTTCTGCAACCTACTGTAATTTTCAATGACAGGTAGGGATACAAGTTCTGTCCTTTTTGCTGACCTCCTATTAATGACTGAATCTTACTCATCCTTACAAATTTCACAAATCAGCCCCACAGGCAGGCTCTGAATGAGGGATCCCAAGTGGCAGAGAGGCTTATCTATAAATGCAGTGGCTCTGACCAGGCTGAGTGCAACTCCCAGAGCCTACACAGCTTGTCTGGCAAAAATATGGATACCCATGGATGTCTGGGTGTGTGTAACTGCTGGAGCTCTTGGAGGCTCATCTTAGATGCAGGCTAATATGTTTGGCCTTAATTTGCATTTTAGCTCTCTAGATCCGTTTCTAAAAAAAAAAAACAAACACACTCTCCACACTGAGCACCTCAAGAAGCTGCATTCCCCTGTTCAGCCCCTGAGGTGTGGGAAAGAATTACACAAGTACTTTAAGCAGCAAGCTGGTAGACTGGAAGTAGGAAGGTGAGAAGATTGAGATGGAAACAAGCAGCTGGAAATACAAGAAGGCATGGATGACTGACAAAAGTGATGACTGCAATTTAATAAACAAATACATCAATTACAAAGTGGAAAATACCATAAAAAGCACACCACATCAGAAAAGGTTATCAAGCATCCATCATCCATTCAATTAAACATTCATAGCTCAAAGCTAATAATAATTCTTGGCTTGTTAGTCTTATGAGTTAAAGATTCCGGATTTCCTGGCCCATTTTATGTCAGAAAAAGGGCAACAAGACATCAGGAAGCAAACTCACAAAGTGTAACTACAGCACTCAGATAACATGAACAGAATTTTTCACAGTACCTGGCAGCCAGCTTGGAATGGATTTATTATTAGTCTATTAAACCTTTCTGACAGCAATCTTTACTTAAATATGTATCTTCCCTTCTTTTCATCATGAAAATCTAATTCCCTTTCCTGAAGGCATAAAGTCATTGGCAGAACTGAAGTATTCTCTTTAGATTTCCAACATGTTTGAACATCAGCTGTTGTCTCTGGTGCTCTCTCTCCATTAGTGGAGCTGAGCTCATTCACCCCTGTCAGGGATAGCTTCGTTCCCAGAACATCAACTTCCCAAACCCTGCAGGAGAACAGGAGGATGCTGAGGCTGTCAGCACAATACTGCATTCTCGAAGAAAGCTGTCTGTTTCTTGGCAACTGGAAAAACAATCTCTCTCAATTAATGTAGTCTAGTCCACATCTGCTGTTGAAATATTGGAGGAAATATTTGAGCCCCTTTCAAATTGTTGATAATGAAATTACACAGACAAGAGATTAGATTGCTCATTTGGAAATGGGTTTAATTAATAGCCTGGACATTTTATTTGTATCCTTTCTAAAGTTCATGATTCAAGTTTCATTTCCTTCCCCTTCTGTAGCATCTCTAGCTGCGAAGTTATGAAAAAGAAAGGAGGAAGAAAACTTGGGGTTTTTTTTCTCCCTAGTAATTCAAGGCAGAGTACTAGAACTTCTGTTAAAATGTACCTGTTGGCTTATGGTTCAGTAAAAGCCACATGCAACAGTAGGGTTTGGAAGGTCATTTGACAGTCAGTCTTGTGTCCAAGGCTCATTCTGACCAGGGGAATTGTGTTTCATCTTCAGTGCTAGATTTTTACACATACATATCTATTCTTTTTCCGTGCTCTCTGTGTTTTTTTGTCCTCACACTTGTGAAACACTAACACTTGTCAGACTCCTGCCATACAGCTCACAGGCAGCTCTCTCCATTTTCAGGTTTAAATAAAGGTGGTGGGAGCTTTTCCTTTTAGGCAAGGTTCAAAAGTTGGCAAATATCCTTTCTGAGCTTGTAAACACATTTCTGCAACTAGAACGAACATTTCTAGCAACGAGAGAGATGTGTTCCCCTCAGTCTACTTTAATGACTTTTATATTCTAAAACTCTTTTGCCCACTATGATTTTCATGAACTATTTCCATTTTTAAACTCTTACTGAACAAAGCAGTCACTGCTTAAGACAGAGTAAATATAATTCACAACAAGGTCATTACTTACCTAGAAAATAATATTAAGTAAATAAAATATATACCTTGGGCACAGGAGCTCCAAACTTCTCCTAGGAAACAAACCTTCACCAAGAGCACTAAAGACATTGTTACTGACCCAGTCTATCCATGAACCTCCTGATATTTTTATTATGTCATAAAATATAAACATAATTCCTATCTTAAAAATAACTATTGTTTCCTACACTGCCTCTTTTGGAGTGAAAGCTAGAGAAAACTTTGATTACAAAGGCATAGCTTTTTCTGAGACTGTTTAATGAAGCCACTTTCACTTCCTATTGATCAGCCTTTCACACTTATATTTTGTTGAATGACAAACAATAGCCATGGGGAAATTAAACATTGAAATCTGCAGACACTCTGGAACAATATTTGTTTAACAGCTGCCGAACTCTGGAAGTAACAGCAAAGAGTATTATGTAAGAAAATCCTGTAACCCAAACAGATAATATTCTGGTTAACATCACACTGAAGCTCTACTTGCTTAAAACACCAGTTGTTACAAGAAAACAATGTTCTGCTGAGGATCCTCAGTGCAGAACTATTTGTTCAGTCCAGAAACGTAACAACCTAGAAATGTTCAATCAATCACATTCAGGTAAATATATAATTGCTATTGCTTTAAAAGGAAACAAATATATAATATAATAGATGACTTCGTCTTGCTTCATCTTTGAAAAAAAATATTACTGGAATGATAGATTGTACACTAGATTGTTCCAGTCTTCAGAGCTAAAATTGAATCCATAAAAATAGATCTGGAACCATCAAAAGCTGTAAATGCAGGCCTGGACAAAGAGTTGACAGAGATAAATGAACTAATTGGACCTATATTTCTTAGCAGAATGTACCAGATTTCATGCCATGATTGTTTTATGATAGTAAATGGAAAACAAACTGCTATTGTTTAATCTTGGTAAATAAAAGAGATTTTTATGAGCATTGACCCAGAAAAAAGTTGACAGTTTGCCAAATAGGTATATTCTTTCCAGTGCTACCAGACATTTTAACTAAAATATGAAGCTGGCCAGTAGATTAACATAGTTTTAAGTGATATCATAAATTGTATGTTTGTTTGCCCGTTACCAGAGATACTTTAAAAGTAGCAGTGAAGAATTACCATTTCAAGAGAGGCCATACAACCTTTATCAAATTAGTAATGCAACTTATTCATTCCAGATAGATGAGATTTCAAATAACTATCCAAACTACAAATAATTCAATTAAGTCACTTAATTCAATTAACATTTCAAATCTGGTTATCAAGTTTTACTCAAATTGCTTCAGAGGGCTTTTAGAAAGCCTTGTAGGAAAACAATTAGGCAGCAGAACACTTGGTAGAAGTATATAATTTTTTAAATAAATCAGTTTAATGTTCATTTGCAACAGTTAAAATTCCTACCAAAAAAGTTGGGGTAGCTCCCTTATCTAGTTTTATGGAGTTTCACTTAAGTACAACCAACTCTAAAATTTGAATTCAAGAGACTTGATCAAAAATATGCAGCTAATGAAGACAAATGCTGGAGAACTCCTTGTCTTCTGCTTAAAAAGAGGAGAAAATAGTACCAGTGGGGAAAACAGAGTCTATTCCATTAAACCAAGAGTCACTTTTCCATCAGCTTTGTCAGAGTTATAGCACATGACAATATCGTCTTAGCTCACCCATTAGTTGATTTTACTGGGATTAAACATGTCAGTGTTATGCTGGTCTAGGATGAATGTTGTAAAAAGAAAATTAAAAATCTTTTCCTGACACATTTTTCTTTCCAGCAAAAACTTATTTAAGGATAATTTTACTTAAAAATTCTCTGCCTGTCAATATTAATCTCAATCCAGCTCCTTGAAACTTTTTGTCCATAGCAAAAAAGACAAATTTTCCCCCTTTTGGCTGTCCCGAGGGGGGACTTCTATCAGGACATGGTGTGCATCCCCCAGATCACATTGTCTGCATGTGGTCACAGGCACACACTGTGTTAGCCAGACATGGGGCCACAGAAACACAAGGTCCTGAGCCAGGCCCTGCCAGCATCAGCCCCCTGGCACAAGTGACCAGTGTAGGGATTCATTCAGCTCCGGGGAGAGCCAGATGGGACTGGCAGGGAGAAAGGAGCAGTCAGCAGTTTCTCCTGCCTTTATACCTGAGCACTCTTTCAGAAACACCAGTGCTCTGCTCTAGACAGGAATTTTTATAATTTTTTTTCTGTTTAGCAGCAGGTAGGTTGCCTTTAGCTACAGACCTCAGTGCACAGGATAAGGAAGGAAGCAAAGAGCTAACCATTCATGGAGGGTAAAGCCAAAGATCAAGATAAAATACATTCAGTGCCAGCTGCCAACACTGAGGCTGAGCAAGTAAGTAAAAAACCCCTCTAAACAGAGGCATAAAGAATGTCTGTTTTACTGACCTTAAAGGTCCTTTGGCTTGTCTCTGTATTGTATCACAGGAAATAAGGTCTGGACTGGGACTGCTAATTTCCCATTTGTTTTAAGCTTCAAGAATATGACAAGTCTGATGCTCCAAACACCAAACTAGCAAAAAACATGAGTCAACACTAGAGGAAAGAGGCAAAAGAACTAATCAAAAACATCCCCACTACTCCTTGTTTTCTTAAAATCTGTTGATAGAAGTGTTTTTTAATGCATTATCTTCCTCTGACTGATTATGTATTTCTATTCTTACAGTTCTGTTAACATCTCAGAAACAGAATTTGGCCAGACAATGTCTAACTGTGCTGCACCACCTTTTTTAAACTTCTAGCTTTTGCCACGTTGCCCTTTCAAAGGCTGTTGTTCCCATGGTACCAGTAGGGTCACTTGGAAGGATCTCTGTCTATCCAGAAGCTCAGCAACACAGCACCCAATTTTCTGCAGCCATTTATGGAGTGTCCTAACAAATCTCACAGGGAGTCTAATGCCCAGGCTCTATCTATGGCTCTGTCACTTTTGAAATGGATACCACAGATGTGATGGGACTGCCAGACCTTTGCTTCCCTGAGAGCCACAGTGCTCTGCTCACTCACCACAGCTGAGGAGCAGCTCCTGCTCCTCACTTTCCTCCTGGTTTTCCTCCTTTGTGATTCACTGCTTACACACAGCTGCAAAGGGCATTAGTGGGGGAGATCCAGATGAACTTCATTGTGTTTTTGTGATACTGGAGTTTCCAGTTAAGTTTATTTAGAGTAACAACATGGCCTCTGTTGGAGGCAACACCTCAGTCACTGCCATGACAGCACTCCAGATGCAGTGAAAAGCTAACACCTACACTCAGTGTGGTATGAAAGGCAATTTGAATTTCTGATGCATTCTGGCACAACCACTGTGCTCCAGATAATGCTTTTACACAGACACCTCCAGACAGGGATAATTTTATGCTGCCTTTGTTATTTATGTGGGT